CACCTCTGAGAAGCCTGGGCCACCTTTGCCTCCAGCCCCAACTATATATATGGAACCAAATCACCAACGTGGCAGGGCAGCTCAGAGCCTGCTCAGCACAGACACTGCCCCCTACCATCCCTCCCTGGAAAACTTGGAAGACATGGAGAGAGGCTTCTGGAGAGACTTTGGGGAGACCATAGCCCCAGCCTACCCCATTCTCTAACTCCTCCAGGCTCGGGGTGCTGGGAGAGGGATCCCTGAGCAATTCTGGGTCAGACCCCACCCAATGGAGCTGTGGTGAGGACTGGGGTCAGTACGTGTGAAGCGGGAAGGAATAAGGGTGGCTGGAACAGCCACATCTGGATTCAAGCTGTTTCTGCCACTTAGCAGCCCTGTGACCTTGGGCACATTACTTATACTCCTTCAGCTTTGGGGCCTTCCTCTGCAAACTGGGTACTCATCCCTAGCTCATGGGATACTGAGGGGATAAGTGGAGCCACTATGAGTAGTGCTGCCCAGTGCCTGGCCTGACAGTCTCTCTCGAGTGCCAGTCTTCACCATAGCCCCACGAAGGCCAGAGGAGGAACCTAAGCTCATAACGAGCAGCGCCCAGCCAAGGTCACACAGTGGCTTGGGAGCGGGCAAAAGTGCTTTGCGGAAGCCAACATAAATCCCAGCAGTGTGGATGGAGGACCCTGGCTGCCCATTTCCTAGTCCCTCTACAGGCCTGTAGCCACCTGTTCTCATGCCAGCTGAGGTCAGTCAGGAAGGTGAAGGGGGCTGAGTGTGAGCAGCTCAGCAGTCAGGACCCAGTCCCACAGCCCCAAGCCTCAGTTTCCTCCACTATAATTTGGGGCAACTGTGACTGTTCAGCTGACCTCACAGTGTGGACAGAGGATGCACTGACTTCATAGGGAGGGAACAATGGCTCTTCTTACAATCAGGCCTCAGCCCAGGCACCTCCTCCTGAAGGAAGCCCTCCCCTCCCCTGGCCCCCTCAAGCCCTGGCCCCGTCAGCCATTATTGTTTTTGGTCTCCTTCCTTGGGGTGGGGGTGGAGGCTCCTTGAGGGAAGGAGGGCAGGCAGGTAAATGCAGGAGGCTGGGCATGCAGCAGGGCCATGGTATGGAACCACCAGTGAGGATGTGCTGGTCCAAGTTTAGGTCCCTCCTCCTGGAAGGCCTCCTTCCTTCTCTTTCCACTCCCACACTCAGAACCTGCCTTTAACTGGTTGTGGAGGCCCCTCCGTCCCTCTCTGTCAGAGCCAACCAGCCAGGGCACACGCTCACAGCCGCATAGGCAGGTTATTTATAGAGTTCTCTCATCTTTCCCAGGGTGGCCAAGGAAAAGAACTCTGGCCTTCAAGGCAGACAGACCTGGGTTTGGATCTCAGCAACACTAGGGTCTTGCTGGTGACCATGGGCAAGTCTTTTCCCTTCTCTGGGCCTTGGTTTCCCTCCCTGCCTGTGTCTGGAGGTGGCTGATGACCCTCCTGGAGCATGAGGCTGAGGATGTGAGCACTTCAGCCTGAAATCCCAGGGCTGGGCACCCAGTAGGGACAGCGCTGACTCCCTCCTGTCTTTCCTGCCACACTAGCCCCACCCAGTGGCACGACCAAGCCCAGGCTTAGGCACACAGGGGCTCAGCACCCAGGGAGTGCTGAGCTCTGCCCAGGACCATATATCCTGGTGCCACCCAATCCTGAGCGAGGGATACGGACTGACAGGCCCTCAGGACAAACTCCCCTTCTTGTCCATTCCTCCTGCCCACTTGGCAGAATGGCTGGCCCCATAATGAAGGGAGTCTGGCCTCACCAAGCAAGGTCAGGGGTTAAACAGCCCTACCCACACCTCTTTTCCCTTCACATTGGCTAGACTGGTCCTCCCCAGTTCATGTGGCAGAACAGAAGGTAGGTACCCTGTCTGGAAGGCAGAGTCAGAATATCAGGGTTCTGAGGAGGCTTGGCTAAGTCCCTGCACTTCTCAGAACCTCAGTCTCTCCCTCTGTAAAATGGGGCTAGGACTCTTGGCTTTGTCACCTGACCCTATGAGTAGAGGTGGGGTGCTGGTTTTCCCTTGATGTCTCCCCTCCTTGGCCAGACACAGGCACTTCACCTCCCTCCACCAACTATCACACCAATCCCAACTGGGGCCACATGCGGAAACCTAGTCTGCCCCACCAGAAAGGTTTGGCTTGGTGGGGCACAGGGGAGCCTCCAGCAAGGCTGGGATGAGAAGAGAAGGTTAACCCTTCCCCTCTGTCTCCTGCCCCCGGGCCCTGAGCTATTTCCACCTCTTTGCTGAGGATGGAAATAACTCGGGCTCAACCCCTGGAGACCAGGACAGCTATTTTGATCAGCCTCAAGAAACACAGCTCCAGTCATTCCAGAGAGGACCCAAGGCCACCATGATCCCCAGCCCCAGCTCTCAGGGAAGCAGCAGCAGTGATCAGAGCTAGAAGGGGGCATCTCTTCGGGAAAAATGAGGAGACTGAGGCCCAGAGAAGGCGAAGCACCAGCTCAAGGTCACTCCCCACCTCTCCCCACCACAGAGTGTGATGCATTTGGAAATGTGCCCTAGACAACTCCTAAGAGTAGAATAGGGGCCTCTTGGGTATGGTGAAGGTCACCTGGGACTTTCAGTTATCCCTGCCATCCCTGTCCTTTGGAGTCTGAGCTGCGCTGCTAACTCTGGACACTCTTCAGAGCCATGTGGACACTACCAAAGCCAGTTGCAGATTCTAGAAGGCAGAAGATAGGCCTTTCTGGTGACCTCTGGCTGGGGCTACTGGTTAGGGGAGGGAGGATAAGGAGGAAGAGGAAGAGCAGGAAAACCACATAACCCACCCATCTACCCTCAGTGTTTCAGGCATGTGTGCACACACACACATACCACATCCAAAACTCACAATGGGACATCCTGGCAAGGCCATGCTTGCCACCCGAGTTTGAGAGAAGGAAGCCCAGATAAGCCATGAGCAGATATTAGGAAGAGGGTGGCCCTCCCTAAGCATCTCACAGGGCTTCAGGGTCACAAGAGCTGAATTCTGGTTCTGGCACTATCCTAACTCTACGTGACCTTGGGCAATCACTTTACTTCTTTGAGCCTCAGTTTCCTTCTCTGAAAAACAGTAAGCAATCCCAGAACCACTGTGAGGATTCAACAAGACAGCACATGATAGTGTTCAGCACAGTGCCTGGCATTGCTGCCCCTACCAACCCCCCAAGGATGCAATCAACATTTTTCAGAGGATGACAGCAGAAGACAGAAACTCCAGACCCACAAGCACTCACCACCACCTCCTGGGCTAGGGAGCTCGATTTCCATTCTATCCTGCACGAACCACAGACCTTCTTGTGGGCATGGGGGACTCAGAGGGGTCCAGCCCACATGGTGGAGGGGCCCTACTTCAGCCTTCCAGCAAGAACGTAGCCTCCTAGACCTGGGGAATTCCTGGGGAATAAATCTATACCCCACCCCTGCCCACCTCCAATCAGGGAACTGAAGAAAGGAAACCTGGGTCAGAGAAGTCAGTGTTTATGGATCAGAATTTTGGACCTGGTCCCAGGACCAGGCAGACTTTGGATAGGAGGTGAGGTCTTCTTGGCCAGTTGTGAAGAGAGTTCTGCTTCCCTAGCAGACACCCTGCCCTCACCCCTCACTGCAGTCTTTCTGCCTGGAGCAAAGGAAGGGAGAACAGAGACGGTTGACCCAAAAACAATAGAGGATCCCAAAGTGATGATTCACAGTCCGTTCACGGCCCACACCTCAGTGTGCAGATGGGGAGACTGAGGCTCAGCGGGGGCAGGGTTTGAGAGAGCAAGACTGTGCCTGGGCCCAGCGAAAATACAGGTTACTAGCGTGGCAAGGCTTTGTCAGGCTTCAGAAACCTCAGTGTGTGTGTATTTGGAGTTGAGTCTGAGGCTACCTGGGGCCCCTCTGCTGCTGCCAGAGATGTCACCCACCAGATGCCTCCCAGCCTTGTCCCCTCTCCCCCTGCCAGGGCAAGTCATTCAGGGTCCCCCCCTTGCTAAACTGAGGGGGCACTGTTCACTAAACTGAGCTCCTGAGGGGCATCCTCTTGGGGACAGTCCCTCAGGCTCCCCCTCCCCCCACCTTCCGCACTGCTGGAAGGTGTTTGAGGTCCCTCCTCTTTACACCTTTTACTCATTGCTCTGAGGCACAGATACATGTACTTACACACACAGTGACACTACACCCAGATTCCAAATACTATGGGCCCAGTGATTCCTGGGCTTTCTCACAGTCACTTTGGTTTCTTTTCTCTCCGTCTCTTTCACATACTCACACTGCCTGTCCTGGTCACACCACAGGCCACACACACTCAGTGACCTCAGTGACCAGGGTCTCACAGTAAGCTAGGGGTCACAGTCACACACAGTGACCCGAGGTCTCTCCCATACACACAGTCACACACGCACACTTGCCTGTCACAGACACACAGAGCCCCTCTGTGTTGCCTGCTCAGCCCCGCGTCACCACCCGGTGTCCCAGCCACACGTTCGCCCGGGCCGGGTTGCCTCATGCGCCGTGTCACTCATAGTCACGGGCTGACACCGTTCAGATCCTTCCCCCCGGGCCGCCCCGCGCCGCGGCCCCACCGAGGCGCCACCGTCCTGTCCCGCAACCCGTCCTGGTCTCGGTCCAAGTTCCCAGGCCCGGCTTCTCAAGCTGCAAGTTCCGCCGCTGCTTCCCCTTCCCTTTCACGCACCTACCAACACCGCACCGCGCAGGACCGGGCCCGGAGTCGCGGCCTGAGGACGCGGAGGACTAGGACAGGAGGGGACACAGCCCGGGTGAGGGGGCTCCGAGACAGGCACTGAAGGCCCCGGGAGAGGAGTGGGCGTAGCGAGGCGCGGGGATCGGGTTGCGGCATCCGCCGGGCGGGCGAACTTCCTCAGAGACGTGGGGGCGGCAGGGGTGCCACTCGGGTCCGCGTCCCTCTGGCCCCGCCTGCAGGGATCGGGGCCAGGTTGGGGGGTTCCGGCTCCCTTGTTACCTGGCCGCCCGGCCGCAGCTCCAGATCCGCTCCCCGCTCGACGCGGCGCCCCGGCCGGGCCGCGCAGCCTGCGCGCCTTTTGAATGAATCGCCTGCGGGGCCGGGAAGACGCGGAGCCCCGCCCCCCGCGTCACAGCCGCCGGCCCCGGCCCCGACGTCAGAGTCCCGGGCTCTTATCCCCGAACACCCCCACCTTGTGATGCCAAGGAGGGGCTCGCGTCTCTCCGGCCTGACCACGCTGCTCTACGTCGCCATCTCTCGCGTCCCCCGGGAACTGCAAGGGACTGCGCAGGACGAGGCCGTGGAGCCCAGGGGGCCCTCTTGGATCAGCCCCCTTTCAGGGCTTCAAGCCAAGAAAGAAGGGTTGAGTAATGAAAGATAAAGCGATTGGAAACTTGGATGCTACTCCTGGTCCTGTCACCATTGCCAGTTTAAATGGGGCTACCACAGCTGTCCCTTCCTAGGCCACGGCTTTCTCCTGGAAATTAGCAGCGAAGGAGAACGACCTCTCTCCTTGCCTTGCCGTGAGGCCCAGGCCTTCCCTTGGAAGCCGCCACCTAGTTGGTGAGAAAAGCCCCAGTGAAGGTGAGTCTATAAAGGAGGCTTAGCTTGTGGGCTCCTGCACATCCCTCAGGGTCCAGCCCAAATCTTTTTCCTTCCAAATGCCTTTCCTTCCACCACTCTGCACCTATACCCCTCTGCCAGGAGGTTAGTCCCTCCCTTCAGCAGGACAAGTGACACTCTGCTCTCCCTCTCTACCACCAGCTATTCCACCCCCGCCGATACCCAATGCCCAGGGTGTCCACCAGAGCAGTCACCAGGGGCACAGTCGCACAAACTTCAGGGCACCACTGACATTATATTCTTGGCTCTGTGAGTTGTGTCCCCTGGAGTTGTGCCACATGGTGGGCCAGGACTGGAGACAGCAGCTCAGCCGTTCAGAGTTTCCCTGACTCAGTACCATTCAGGGTATCCCAGGACAGCAGGGCTGGGAGGAAACTCAGACAGCAAGGAGGGCCTAGTGTTGGGGGCAGAGGCCTGGCTGGGATCAGGATAATCATAGCCCATGACAGAGGTGGAGGAAGGTAAGTAAGTCTGTTGGAGATAGATGGAGGGTGGCAGAATTACAAACAAACTGAGTCAGAGAATCTGAGCCTCCCAGTGAGGAGGTAGGGAGGGTCAGGTCCCCACGGTCCAGGAGATTCCAGGAGGAGAACTGGACACCTGTGGTGGGGAGGAGGTCAGAGGAAGAGTTTCCATTTCCCTAGGCGATGCCCAGGTTGTGGGGGAGGGCAAAAAGAGCTCCAGGTCACTGATGTCAGAATCATGGTCCCAGCCCTCTCATGTGTCAGTGGCGACCCCCAGGAACCTGTATCCCACATCCCAGCCATGAAGGGAGCCCACAGAGGGTCCATGCTGGGGACCTAATGAGGTAACCAGTGCAGCTCAGGATGCTGGGATGTGCATCCAAGGATGTTTATTCTTGCCCCTCACTCCTAGAAACGTTTTCTTTGTAAGGGGACCTTCCATACCCCAATTCCAAGTTCTGAAGTCCAGACGGTGGCATTTCAGGTCCTGCTTAATGGACCAAATGGGGTCCATGCTTTATGGTAAAGGAACACTGGATTTTAATCAGACACTGTAGAAGGGTCCAGGCCCATCTCTACGACCAGCTCTCTGTGAGGCTTTGGTCATCCTCCCCCCTCCCCCAGGACTGTTTCCCCATCTGAAAATTAGAGTGCTGAGCTTGTTGCCTAAATACCATTCTAGTTCTCTGTGGGAGAAGGCCATTTGCTTGCCCTGGCTGAGTAGTAAAGATGGGGATCAAGTACTTGAGCCAGAAGAAAAAAATCAAGGGTGGAGGGGCTGAGACGGGTTTTCCCCCATGGTTCTGGGGCCCTTGTCAGAAACTCTGGGCTCTCAGGATGCGGCTGTATCTAGTCAGGTGTCCTGGAGCCACAGCCCACACAGCCTCCCTAACCCCTTCAACCTTCCCACCCCCTGCACCCCTCAGGTTACGAAGGAACTTATTATTTACTGCTGGTTGGAATGCCATCTCCTCCTCTAGCTGGCTCTGACTCCGAAACCACTGCAGATGGGACCCTCCCTGAGACTCTGGGAGCCTCGAGATCCCCCGCCCCCCGCCCCCAAGTGGGAAGATGGAAAGAGTTGTGGAGACCACAGAAGAGATTTAGATTGGCTTTTTTTGGTTTGTTTTCTTTTTTTTTTTTTTCCTTTCTAAATTTAGTTTGTTGTTGTTGTTGAGAATATACACAGCAAAACATACATCAATTCAACAGTTTCTACATGTACCATTTAGTGACATTGATTACATTCTTTGAGTTGTGCAACCATTCTCACCCTTTTCTGAGTTGTTCCTCCCTCATTAACATAAACTCACTGCCGCCTAAAGTTCCTATCTAATCTTTCGAGTTGCTGTTGTCAATTTGATCCCATATAGATAGTTCTTAAAAGAGCATAATGCTCTAGGCAGACCTTTTTTTTATTAGTTAAGCTAAACTACTGTTGGGTTTTAAGATGACTTCAGGGGATGTTTTGGGTTTAAGGTTTACAGATTATCTCAGGGCAACAGTGTCAGGGGTTCATCCACCCCTCATGGGTCCAAAACGTCTAGAATCCATGAGAATTTGAAATTCTGTTCTGCATATTCCCCCTTTTGATCAGGATTCTTCTATGGAATCTTTAATCAAAATGTTCAGTAATGGTAGTCAGGCACCATCCAGTTCTTCTGGTCTCATGGCAAAGGAGGCAGTTGTTCATGGAGGCAATTAGGCACACATTCCATAGCCTCCTCCTATTCCTGACTCTCCTTCTTGCTCTCTTGCTCCAGGTGAATAGAGACCAATTGTTGAGGCTTGGATGGCCACTTGCAGGCTTTTAAGACCCCAGGCACTATGCAACAAATGCAGCGAACTAGGCGGTAGAACAGAAGCACTAAACACATTCTTAGGCCAATTAACTGGGATGTCCCATGAAACCATGACCCTAAACCTCCAAACCAAGGCACCAAATCTCATGAGGTATTTGGTTGTACATAAGTAGCCTCAGCAGCTACTTTTTTTTTTTTTATTGTTGTGAAATATCTATCACACAATTTTTGCCATTTCAACTTTTTACAGGTGATACAACTTATTGACAGTAATTACAATAATTGGCCATGCAACCCTACCCAGATTGGCTTTTTATGGAGCTTAGAGAATCACAGGCTGGAGAACAAAGGACTCTAAGAATCACAGGATTTTTTTCACTGTGGAAACCATAGGCTTTTAAAATCCTGGCATCTCAGATGGACCCACAGAATCTTAGCATTTGAATCCCTGAGCTGGGACCTCAGAGACCCTCTTGTTGAACCTCTCATAGTACAGCTGGGGAAGTGAGCCCAGAGAAAGCCCACAGCTCATCCTAGGAGGTGCAGCACAAGGCCCCAGTAACCTGGGATGAGCTGTGATAGTGACCTGGTGGCAGGGGCATGGGCTTGATGCCTAGTCCAGCACTGTCTAGGGTGGGGATCCTGGACCACAGGATGAGAGCCATGTGTATGCAGTTATTTGCAGGAGGTCTGAGCAGATCATGGCCTCCGGAGCTGTGGGCCAGAAATGGTGGCGCCCCCTGCTGGCTGCACTAGAATTTCAACATGAAAGTCCAAGGCAGGAGGAATGTAGGGAGCATGAACTTAAAATTTCAATGTTCTGTCTTTGGGTAACCCACAGTTCGCCAATTCCTACCCGTGTGGAAGGGGAGCTGCCCTCCCGTGTTTGTGCCTCGGCTCCAGGGGAAGGGTGGGCTGGGGCTGAGGAGGAACTGGGGCTAGGAGGTCAGGATGGGGCTGGGCAAGAGTTGAGCTGAGCTGGGGCCAAGGTCAGCCCACATTTAGGTCTTGACCTTGGCTTGGGTCTGGAATCCTGCTGGGGTTGGGGTCTCAAGTCCTTGACCCTGGCCTCACTGGCTCCCTCACAGGAGGTCCAGCACTCTCAGTTGTATCCATCCCTGGCTTGAGCCTTATTGGTTTCGGGACCTCTCAGTTCCATGGTGGGTCTGAGAGGAACTCAGAGTCACAAATTGCAGGCAGTGAGGCTGGCGGGACCCCTGGGAGCTGCCTAGGTCCACCCTGCAGTCCGGCTACCCTCTGGGTCCAGGAGGTAGGCACCCAGGCCTAGGGAGGCAGGTGGCTTGCTGAAGCATTTGAAGTTAAGGAACCGAGAGAGGAGAAGTCTGAGGGTGGAAATGGAAGAATACTGGCTTTGGGGTCACACAGATAGGGGCCAAGTCCCAGACTGGCATTGCGAGGCTGTGTGGCCTTAGGCAAGTGACTTCACCTCTCTGAATGTGAACTCACTCAGCCAGGATGTTATATGGAGACCCCATGTGGGGGGCACCAGCTTCTTCCAAGCCACTGGGCTCTGGAGCCATCTGCTCCCTCTCCTCCCCCTTCCCTCAGTGCCGTTTTTCCTTGTGCTCCTCCTCGCAGACCTGCAGGGTGGGCAGAGCCTGGGTGCCTGTCCCTGCTTGTCCCCGATGCCTGCTCACTATCTTCCTTTCCAGCTTAGCCTTACAGTCTACCCTGACCCAGCTCGGGATGCCTTTGCCAGGCAGGGCTCCTCATTGGCCATAATTGGGCCCAGAATAGCACATCCCCTTGCCGCTTCCTGCAGCCTGGACTGTGGCATAAGTTCTGTGAGGACAGAAGAGAGATTTGGTGTTTGGCAGGCCTGCAAAGGATCTGAAGGGCTTTCAGAGGTCACCTGAGTCCAGAGAGGGGTAGATACTTGCCTAGGGTCACACAGCATGGGGAGGCCAGGGCTAGGGCTTGAGCTTGCCCCATCCCAGGCCTCACCTGGGAGAAAGCTAAAGACATACTCGTACTTTCTGCTCCCTGTGCCATGCCCTCTGGACCTATAGACTAGTGCTGATGATTTTTCTGTGTGCCATGGGGTCCCTAGAGGCCAACTAGTCTAGCCGTCTGCCTCCTCTGGTTTCTAAGGGTCATTCCTGATTTTCTGACCACAGGGAACATTCCTGCCAGAGTTCTACTC